ATCAAGCTACAGGAATTCAACTTATGAGTGCAAATGCCACATTTTACAGAGTGACCAAACGGTGCCGATTTTGTATATGTGTGTGGGGGTAGATGCATTTCCATAGAAACCCGAAACACTATACCGATGACTCCCTTTAGAGTCAATTACTCATTATTTCATGAGCTGAATCAACACTTTGACGTGGGAGTTTGTCTGCGTATACGAAGTATTACCTTGTGTTTAAAAAAAACAATCACGGATAATCACAGCAACTCTAATAATCATAATCTTATATGCTGAAGTAACTTAATGGGACAACTTCAGAATGTTTGATTAAATATCATTCAGCTCAGAAATTGGAAATGTGTTGATCCAATTAAAAATGATGCGACTATATTTACCATTCAACCGCAAAACATTAGTTGACTTATTTGCTGCAGCCTGGAATTGAACTGCTGGTTAGTCTGGTCAGAGGAGAACTGGCCCCCCGACTGAGCCTGGTTTCTCCCAAGGTTTTTTCTCCATTCTGTCACCGATGGAGTTTTGGTTCCTTGCCGCTGTCGCCTCTGGCTTGCTTAGTTGGGGACACTTCATTTCCAGCGATATCGTTGACTTGATTGCAAATGATTGCAAAGATACTATTTAAACTGAACTGAGCTGGATGTTGACATCACTGAATTCAATGATGAACTGTCTTTAACTGAAAAATTAGTGTTTACTATTGTCATTTTGCATTATTGACACACTGTTTTCCTAATTAATGCTGTTCAGTTGCTTTGACACAATCTGTATTGTTAAAAGCGCTATATAAACAAAGGTGACTTGACTTGACTTGACTTATCTAGGAGACAGAAAGCCAAAGAACAATTTAATTAGGCATGGTAGAGAGATTTTGTCCCATTGGACAAGTGCTGAGTTCTTAGGATGTTCATCATGTACATGTGTGATGCCTTGCCAACTCACTGGCTGCATGGCCATAACGTTCTCCTGATCTTTCTGAATTGTACAGTACAATGCGAATGCTGCTGTATTAAAGGTATCACCCAGGTAACTTTATCTTTTATGATAACATGGCAACAAAACCTTGTCTAGATTAGTATATGGGGTTCAGAGGGAAAAATAGCTAATTAACCCTGTGACATGCTATCAACTTTTGTTATCAGCGTGATTACAATAATTGGTAAGGCTCATGGCTTAACCACTTTTGCTGGAAAGTGAATAGTTTTAATTTTTGCTTCATTCAAAAAGGCAAGCAGCATGAGTATAAATCCGACTACTGGTCTGAAAGAAAAAAATCCTTATAACTGAGACCTGAAAATAAGCAGCAGCACTATGTTCCTACTAAAAAACCTGTGCAAGAATAAAGGATTAAAAAGAATATGCTTCCTCAGAAAAACAAAATTCACCATTCTCAAAAAGATATAAAAGAATTATATAGGTAGGTTTAAATATTTTTACATTTTCTGCAACATCGCCTCATTTACCATAAAATCAAGCATGTTCTGCCACTGCAGTTGACATGAAATAAGCACCTAATCAATGACTATTTTTAACAGATGAAATGTTGTCTTCATATTTCAACCTATATTCAAAACAGACTACCACAAAATAATGAAGAATCATATAATCAATAATGATAAATAATAGAATATCACTGCGATCAAAAAAATCATTTCACATGTGAAACGAGTGAGATTAATATCTGTAACTTGTTCTCGGAAACATGTCAACAAGATCACGCAACACACTACATGCTTACTTCAAAACATTTAGCAAAAGTCCATTCCATTCCTTTCCAGTATGTAAATTAGGATGCTCAAATAGGCATATCTAAAACATTAGTGTTCCTTTCGGTCACATACATCTGAGAGACATTGATTCAGTTTGGACGGGGGCGAGTTGTGGACTCAAGTCTCATAAATGCTGAGACACACATGCGAGAAACATTTGGTTTGAATTTGTCAGGCAAATGTCATAATCAAACCCTCTGACTCTCTTTTGTGACAAGGTATGATTACTAATATAAGTCAAATTTGGATAATCATAAACTGGAGTAAGCGGATAGCTTTGCCAACCCCCACAATCCCACGCCGTTGTAGCATCATCTAAACAGGGTGACCACCAATACCAGAGAGCCCTGTTCTTCAGGGATGCGTGCTCAATTACAACTAACATGACTTGAGATTGGAGTGTCACATACATCTAAGCACATATAGCCTATTGAAGAGCATAATCAATAGAATGTGTGTTCCTTCTACAGTGGAAATAGTGAGGTAAACTGCATTAAGATGCTTCTGTGACTAAATGGATGAGATTACTGAATCACTCTTTATGTTTTGCATGGTATTGTCCATGGTATTGTTTACTCAGCCTCATGCTGTATGGGTAAACCTGTATGACTGTCTTTCTTTCGTAGAACACAGAAGATGATGTTAGATAGAATGACAGACTCAGTCACCATTCACTTTCAGTAAGCCTATACGAAACAGATACAATGACAGGGAAAGGCGAGTGAAGCTGAATTCCTAACATCTACGTTTGTGTTCCACAGATGTAACATCAAGTTTGGAACAATATGAGGGTGAGAATGATAACAGAACATTCATTTGTGCGCGAGCTATCCCATTAAGGAGGTAATAATGAATTAATGTATGTAGCCTACTTAACGCGATCAAGTATTTTGTCAAGACAAAACGCGCGAGATTAATGCAACTTTGACCGTCTGAAAATGAACTCTAATAGTTTTTTAAGGTCTCATTACTATCCGCGACACATTTAACTTTCCTCAAGACACGATAACTTCTAGCAATGAGGAGCTGTGTCGAATTGTGTCAAAATACTCCGCGACAGAACGACGTGCACAATTTTGCTGTTGCGCTTAGACGTTATTGTAGCCTACTAAATTAGGTCCACGTATTATTACGCACTCCAGTATATCACCATATATTGATGTCAGTTTGAAACAGGTAAGGTAAGGTAAAGAGTGTATAAACTTTCCCTGAAAGAACAAGATCAACTCTTTAACTAAATTTCCTTTGGCAAACGTACAATTCTGTGTATGATTTTCAATTATATCTGGCTGCTATGCAAAAAAAATTAATTAACAGGCCTATATCCATACAAATTGTATGTTATATGTCGGCTAATTAATTTTTAGCATTATAATCTATTTATGTTTTTATTAGCATATATATTTATTTATTATAAATTCATTTATTTTAATATTTTTTTATATATATATTTTAAAACCATTAAAGGTTTCCCAAATCTAATGGCTTTTGGCTCTGTTGTGCAGATTGACATTTAGCATCTGTGTTCAATTAAACGTTAGGCTACAGAAGCAGTTGTAATCTTAGCCATAGCAGGGATCATTTTAATCCATAAACCAGATTAAGACTGCAAAATCCCGGAAAAAAAAATCGATAAAATACACCTGTAAAGACAAAAGTCCGCAGGTACATACCCTCTCCAGGTGACATGGTGAAACAGTGAAGTTTGGAGGTGTGATGCGCGTGGAGTTTGAGATCTTCAGATCCGCAGCGCATCTGTATCGAGGCGGGATTCGAGCCACAGCCGTCAGCAGGGACGCGTTTCGGGCAGATGTCTGTTTTACTGCTGAACATGGAGAAAGCGAGCTCGGTGAAATCTGTCTGATGACTGACCATCCCAATATGCGCTGCAGATTTCTGCATCTGGACCTCTGATTTCCAAGTGTGCATGTCAGTCCCCATACAATAATAGTCCTTATCGTTTCTTGTACCTGTGGGATGAAGGATCACAACATGAACATGAACTTCAGTTGAAGGAACAAACTCTTCCAGCTCTCAGAGGACTCTGAAGCAACATGATAAACATATAGCAAACCATATATTTAAAAAAAAAAAAACAGTAAAACACACTGATTAATTATTGTTTTTATATGTTGTAGTAGATTTTTTAAACATAGCCTACCTATTTAAACCCTCCAAAGCAAGAGATGATATTTTGATTGAATGATGATGACTCTCAACTTCTGCGTCCAACAGGCTGTTAAATGTGTTCTTACCGACCGCATCCTCTCTCCTGTTTCAGCTGCAATTTTATGAGTTTTCTATAGCATCAATTCTGAAAACCAAAACATGCGTCCCTGCTTTGATTGACAGCTGGAAGTGCCAATGAATATAGACTGTTGAAAGGGGAGGGATCAATCGGGAACAGACTGGATGCATGTTTTGTGAATAGTGAAATTGATCTCGAGCCACTTCAAATTGGGAATAATAATTTGCATTCATACAACTAAAACAGTCCTGTACAGCTTCCTCGTCATCACACAGCAACAAATAATGTAAGACCTATTGTGTAACAGACAAAAACAAGATCATTAAGAGTACACAGATCAATAATAAATGTTTCATATCCTGGAGGATGATGTATGTAGCAGTAGCGTAAAGAGTATAGCTTTTATTTTGTATGACTTTCGGTTCAGAGAATAAGACTCGCAAAGGGAAATGAAATAAAAGTAGTGAGTAGTGAAAAAGGCAAAAAATTAGAAGAGGTTTGTAGTAAAACATATCAACAGTGACATCTTATGGACATCTTTAGAAACTAACATTAAAACGTCAGTCAGACTAATAATTATAAAGACCATTAATGGAACGTTTTAACATAAAATATATATCAAAACCAATTGTTATTTATTGGTGTTGTTATTTATGGAGTTTTTTTTTTCTTTTAATTTTTGGTCCACTATGATCCGAATACAACAGCAATCCAACAATATAAAAGCGAAGTTTGATTCCTGCTATGGTGAAGGTGGGTTCATGAATATTAATTACGTTGCGTGACGTTCCAGTAGACCCAGCGGTTTTCGCTAGTCGCCTGGCGAATCAACAAATCCTGCTATGGCGAAAGTTTATGCATATTATTCATGAATATTAATAATATGTAATAAGTTACAGGAAGGTTACGAAGCAACACCAACATTACCTAATTAATAATAATGAGCAAAGCCTTTGCACTAGATTTGATCCTGAATTTTGGCATCATGTAATGTTGTGGTTTGGAGGGCGGTAAGCTTTTGCTACAATACAGGCAAAGTTTGATCTCGTTATCGTTCATGTAGAGTTCGCACCACCACAGGTGGACTAATAAATTCTTCTCGCGATGGGGACCGCGGTGGGATATGCACTGAGAAAACTTTTTGTTTATCTATCAGCTGTTGCCATGATATTATTTGCGATCGCGCAGATGACTGTGTTGAAACTCCTGTCATTCGTTTCCCCGGGACTGATGAAGAAAATCCATCTTAAAATGGGAGAGAAGTTTACGATGACCCAAAATCCCAAATTCAAATATGAAGACTGGGGTCCGAGTTTCTTTTCTCTGGCGTTCATTAAAACCGTGCTCTCCGTGACCTGGCACTCGCTGGGCCTGGAAGCGTTTGAGGGCCACGCGGCTCCAGACACAGCTTTATTCACCCTGGACGGACAGAAAACGAGCATTTATCGTTTTCTTAAAGGTACAGTAAATGCTTTATATAAATTAGTAGTAGTAGTGGTTTTGTTGTTACTGGAACAATTAAACCGACTGTACCAGTCCCAAGGTTATATAATAATAAGGTGTAATAAACATTAGAATAATTAGTGTGAATAAGGGTCCTAATGGTCTTTTCCAATAATATTTATTTTTGTGTTTGTTTATACTATTAGATATTATTAATTTTTTCTGATCAGTGTTGGGTAACTTACTCTAAAAAAGCAATCAATTACTAGCTACTAATTACATTTTCAACAGTGTAATTAGATTACTGTACTAATTACTCTCTCTAAAAGTATTGCATTACCTATTACGAATTACTTTTTAAATCCAATATCAACCTCAGCCAGTTAAACAATACACTGATAGACATGAAACTGCTCTTTCAGTTCTTTCACATAAATAATATCAAATTCTATAAATTATTCTTGAACTGACCAAAGTATTAAAAGGGATGTTGCATTAAAAATATTTGTCTTTATAGTCTATACAGCATTTAATACAATTACATCAAAAGTAACTGTAATTAAATTACAGAAAAATTAAGAGTAATCCATTACTTAAATTACAATTTATAAATAATTACTTAGTAATACTTTACATCCAACACTGTTACTGATGCAGTCTTCTTCACAGGGAACCGTCCACTGGTTCTGAGTTTCGGAAGCTGCACATGACCCCCATTTCTCTACAAGCTTGATGAGTTCAAACAACTTGTCAAGGACTTCAGTGATGTGGCAGATTTCCTCGTGGTTTACCTTGCAGAGGCGCATGCAACTGGTAATGACAATTATATTTCAATTAATTAGAACTTAAGGGCATCTGTGCTTTTAATATGGGTTGATATTATCTATGCCCAGATGCACTGTAGAGTACTTAACATGTAGAGCACTAAGTGATAAATGTTATGCAACTAGCAAAATTCTTCTGTTTTGTTATAGATGCTTGGGCCTTTGCAAACAACGTCGACATCAGCGTCCACAAAACTTTGGAGGAGAGACTGGCTGCAGCCCGGACCCTGGTCAAAGAAGATCCCCTCTGCCCTGTGGTAGTGGATGAGATGACCAACATCACTGCCAGCAAATACGGAGCTCTGCCTGAGCGCCTCTATGTCATTCAGAGTGGGAACGTTTTCTATCAGGTGAGCATTTTGCAATGTAGACAAACTGCACATTGCACACAGTACAGGAAATACTTCCAAAGCTTCATAACAGCTCTCGTGAGAGCAGTAGAGAGTTGCTAGTGAAAGCAGAGGCTTTTACACACATTCTTCCTCTTGCAGTAAGATATTGCACGTGTTTGTAGAGGTGAAAGGTTTGGAACGAGTTGAACAGCATGAGGCAAAGAGTTTTATAGTCGCTTGGGTCTGTTCTTTTACTTTTGTTGCATTTTTGATTGCCAGTGTCTTGTATAGTCTAAATATATTCATCAGGAAGTCCACAGTATGGGAAGGATTTTCACATACATTTTTATTCTTCCTAACAGGGTGGCATCGGACCTTGGGGGTACAACCCTGAAGAGGTTCGAAAAGTTCTGGAGAAAATTAAATAAAGGGGAAAAAATGGAAGTGTTCTATCCATGGTTGCATTTATATATGTGACCCTGGACCACAAAACCAGTCTTAAGTCACTGGGGTATATTTGTAGCAATAGCCAAAAATACATTGTATGGGTCAAAATTATCGATTTTTCTTTTATGGCAAAAATCATTAGGATATTAAGTAAAGATAGTGTTCCATGAAGATATTTTGTAAATTTCCCACCGTAAATATATCAAAACTTTATTTTTGATTAGTAATATGCATTGCTAAGAACTTCATTTGGACAAATTTAAAGGCGATTTTCTCAGTATTTTGATTTTTTTGCACCCTCAGATTTCAGATTTTCAAATAGTTGTATCTTGGCCAAATATTGTCCTATTCTAACAAACCATACATCAATGGAAAGCTTATGTATTTAGCTTTCAGATGATGTATGCATCTCAATTTTGAAAAATTTACACTTAAGACTGGTTTTGTGGTCCAGAGTCACATATTTGCACTTTTCTGAAATTCTAGTGCCTGAGCTAATTTTATGAGTCCTTGTGTTTGCTTGTGACAGATACAGATTAAACCAGCTGGTCTCTGTACCTCGATGTTTTAAACACAGGGGGATGTAAAATGTAAGTAGGTGACAGTATCTTTAGCATATATTTTTTAATGGAATATGTAACCAAAATGTGTGGGGTTTTTTTTTTTGTAAACATTTGATATATATTTTTTTCTACTTCAATGTAAATGCATAATTATCATACAGTACCAGCATTGTATTCAAAGACTGTATAAATATCCATCAGCAGAGATTGTGAAGGGCACCTGTGCTTTTAAGATGCATTTATATATGTGACCCTGGACCACAAAACCAGTCTTAAGTCACTGGGGTATATTTGTAGCAATAGCCAAAAATACATTGTATGGGTCAAAATTATCGATTTTTCTTTTATGGCAAAAATCATTAGGATATTAAGTAAAGATAGTGTTCCATGAAGATATTTTGTAAATTTCCCACCGTAAATATATCAAAACTTTATTTTTGATTAGTAATATGCATTGCTAAGAACTTCATTTGGACAAATTTAAAGGCGATTTTCTCAGTATTTTGATTTTTTTGCACCCTCAGATTTCAGATTTTCAAATAGTTGTATCTTGGCCAAATATTGTCCTATTCTAACAAACCATACATCAATGGAAAGCTTATGTATTTAGCTTTCAGATGATGTATGCATCTCAATTTTGAAAAATTTACACTTAAGACTGGTTTTGTGGTCCAGAGTCACATATTTGCACTTTTCTGAAATTCTAGTGCCTGAGCTAATTTTATGAGTCCTTGTGTTTGCTTGTGACAGATACAGATTAAACCAGCTGGTCTCTGTACCTCGATGTTTTAAACACAGGGGGATGTAAAATGTAAGTAGGTGACAGTATCTTTAGCATATATTTTTTAATGGAATATGTAACCAAAATGTGTGGGGTTTTTTTTTTTGTAAACATTTGATATATATTTTTTTCTACTTCAATGTAAATGCATAATTATCATACAGTACCAGCATTGTATTCAAAGACTGTATAAATATCCATCAGCAGAGATTGTGAAGGGCACCTGTGCTTTTAAGATTTTTTTTCTGGACTTGTGACTGTAAATGATGCTTACAGGGTAAAACTATGTGAACTGTAAACTGATAATTCAGTCATTTGTTCTAAAATTTAGGAGTACAGATTTAACTAAATATACAGAGTTTTCAACAACTATTCAAATAAACAATTATATTATATATCATATCAGAGTCAGTGTGTGTCATTATATAAGTCATGGCAACTTTACTTCATATCAATGGTGTGTGCTTGTCCTTCAGTGAAAAGCATATCTTGAACTGCTCTTTTAACCATGTTTGACCTGACAAATACTTCAGATAACCTCTTTTAAGCAGCACAGTTCGAACAACAAAGAAACGATAACAATGTCATTTTCACAAGAAAGGACATTGCAGTCACTGAATCTATTAAAAAAGAAGAACAGCTTCACAAAATCATTATGTTCAGTGTATCGTCAGTAACCTTTCATCCGGTAGATCTCATCAAACTTATCATAGCTAAATTCCTTATTGACCTGCTATTCAAATGACTTCTAGTAACAATAAACCTGGTCTTCATTTGGACAATGCTAATCTAGATGTAAATACAGCATCTGATGTCATGTACTATGGAATACGCTTACACAACACATTACAAATGCATGTTTTTTCATAACTCTTGCACATTATTTAAGAAAGAATTTGTTAAACTAACAGATGGAGAGTTCAAATGAGATGATGGAAGATAATATCAAATATAAAACAAAAGACGTGCTGGATTTTGGCCTTCTACCCGTTCAGGCTTCAGCAATTCAATTCTAAGATATTCATGAATGATAAACAACTATCAGTTCCTGTTCTTTAGCCTCAAGGACCTTAACCTTGTGACTGCATTTGTACTTTGGACTCATGTCACATGTTGTATTTGGCAGTCGGGATGCTGTTGTGGGTTCCTCACAGAGCTGCAGACTCTACAGATTGATCCAAAGGCAAAGTCTGACACCAGACTCTGCTTTCATTAATTTGAAAGGGCTCCTACATTTTAAACATTTTTCTTAAGGACTAAGGGTACAACAGGTTTACTAAAGCAGCTATATATGGATGTGAAGCCTTCAATAGCCTTTAACAGGCTTTAAAATGCCCTAGTGTCACAGTTACTGTATATGCAGTGAATGATTGATCATTTTATCATGACCTTTGATTTCCATCACAATTATGATGACAGTTCACCGTCTGCCACAAGATCAGGCAGCCAAAAGAGTCGCAGAATGTAGTCAAACTGTCGAAACTTACCAAGTGTCTAGGAAATGACCTTATCAATAGTAGACAGAATTAGTTGACTATATTAAAAAATATAATTTTAGCAAAAACTTTAGAAAGTGTTGTGAACACTACTGGGGGGGGTGGGGGGCATTCACACAGAAAGTTAGTGCTCATTTGCGAGGCACTACAAAAGACACAAGTGAATCAGTTAAAGATGTCTGTCTACTACAGTGGTTTTCAACAAGGAAAATTTTTATCGAGTACAAATTGAGATAAATTTAAATTCTTTACAATAAATAAAGCCTGGAAAGTAGTTAATCTTTCTGTAAATTATAAATAGTTTTGAAAAAAAAAAAAAAAACTTGTCATCAGCAGACAAACCAGAGGAAACCCATTAGCCTAGATGGGGGTGGGGGCTTCAAATATTTTTGGGGTCATTAGAGGGCCTTTGTTGCAAACAACTGGTCTAGTGCATTAGGAACAGTCCCTAATACCATTTGAGAGTTGCTGAGAAAGAAAAAGACTCTTTAAGGTCGATCATTGGTTTGCAGAATTTAAGTGCCAGTTGGTTGGGCAAAACCTGTAGAACTCTTATGAATTACTTCTGCCTCACAGGTTGTGCATGACACCCTTGCAGCCTGTTTGAGCCGTGTCCACTATGATCCTGCTGGACATTTTGCAGAAGAGGAGAGCGAAGAGCTTCGTCAATGGGTTCTTCCGACATGCTCTGCCTAGTAAAAACATTACATGCATTGCACCATGAGTGAAAACAAACAGAGGCTTGAGACAATTTGGGAACAACTTTATCTTACATCGAAACTGGTTCACTGATTCAAAGAGAATGATTTACATGGAAATCAAATGGCTGGATCTTGGCCCTCTGGAGAGATGCTACCCTAAAGAAGTTGGGGAACATCAACAGCTTTACATCGTTTCCCAAAGTTAAAATCATTTCACATTGAGCTTTCCCTTTTCTCTTAAAAAGCGATTCACTGGAAACCAAAGGTAGGCTGAAACGCTGCTTTCCTGTTTGAATTAGAATGAATGACTGAAAAACATAAGACGAAAATCCTCAAAGGAGCCAAATAATTTAGTAGTCAATATATAAAACAAGCCTATTCAGCCCACAGTTAAAAGTATGATGCACAAGCTAACAAAAGCAGTGCAAAACAGCTACTAAAATGTAAAACAATGACCAAATGTCTGTATAAATAGAATAAGTTACCATTCTAACTGTAGTATGACTTTGTCTGATGTCGCTAAAAATTAAACCTAATATAAAACAAATCCAAACACACTAGAGTCTGGCTTACAAAAGCAACATCCTTACGGGATGATACCTTTGAACCAACATCAAACCATTTCAGAGCTAAAACAAGAGGCACGTGGGAGGGAATTACATATATATAAAAAAAGAAAAACATGGTAAGGGTATCTTTAACCACAAAAAAATTCATCATGACAATCAAACCCAACAATGGCCGAACTTTTTGCAGGGAGACCCATCCAGATGCGTTATCCAGTCACCCGCCTGAGGAGCTCTGAGAAGGTCTCATAGGTAGTATGTTTGTCAGGGTCAGCATCTGAGAAGATCAGCGTATCATTCAGTCTTTGACCAAAGATTGAGACAGCAGTTAAATTTCAGAAAAATAAGAGAACATGAAATCAGTGCATAAAACAAAAAAAGTCATCTTAATGACGGGACCCGTCAATGCAGTTATTCCTTAAAAGCAGCTGCTTATAATGCTTGAAGACAAAAATGACAGTGTACGAGTAAAATACAACTGCGAGTCTTTCCCCGTTCAGAAAAGACAGAATTCTCTCACCACTTGATGTATTTCACTGGAGAAAAATCAAAACAGGTAATTGAAAGGCAATAAAATATTCACAGAATTCAAGGCCACGTATGAGAGTTCAGTGTCAAAAAGTCGGAGGAAGTTTCGTACGTGTAAACCATGCTGAAGTTGGACGTGGATGTCGGATTTCGAGAGAGAGCGAACTGCGATTATTCCTCTTCGGCACAAAATGTACACACATCCAGCGATTATGTCAGCAGTAACTATACTTTTCTTCTTGATGAGAGATGGCCTCTGAGGGGAACAAGAAAACTAAAAATCCAGGAGCACTGAGTCACACTTAGATCTTCCCATCTGAGAGAGGAGAAAAGGTTTGCTAGCCATTTAAAA